CTCCAATATAAAACTGTGGTCTGTGAATAAATGTGAGATTACTTTTAGTTCTGCCAGCAACAGATAGCATATGAATTAAAAAGCAAATAAGCAGGAAGGAATGTTTTACAAGTAGAATTGGTTAAAATTTTCTAACAATGTTATTGCCTACAACCTTGGTTACTTATGTGATAATCAACTTTATACACAAGAAGAGTGGGTTGCCCTCTCTATTCAGAAGTTGCCCTACATCCCTCTGCCACCTGACTTGCTGCTTTTCATGTCTCACATCCATCCTCAAGCTCTGTGTTGTGCGTTCTACTTTCTGGAATAAGCAACTGCTAGTTAAGGTAGAAAGATCTGAATTGGAGAAGAAAGTGTTGGGAAATAGGCTTCCCAAATGTTAACACTTTTTTATTTCAGCAGATACTTGCAGGGGAAATTTCCAGGCAACTCTTAAACAAAACCACAACTGTATAATGGGGCTACTAATAAGCTTATATAAATGTTTCATTTTTTTCTCTAGCATTTTCTTTAGGATGAGAGTCTATTGTGAAATACTACATTAATTGGAAATGCATGACACACAGAGAGTCACCATCCACTAGAGTTAACAATGCTGGGCAAGATACTGTTGCTGTAGTTTTTGTAATTTTTTTCACTCTTTTTAGGGTATGACACATTAAGCACACAACTTCAAGCTCGAGCCTGTCTGATATCACAATGCATGTACTGTCCACCATACTGTTTCCATGAACACATATCCTGCATTCAGATAAACTTAGTACTCTGCTTTCCTATCTTGTTTTGAGGGCTTTGTTGTTTTGTTTGTAAAAAATAAGCTTACTGGCTATTATCAAAATAACAAGGGAAAATTATAGCAAGCAAGTGAAAAAAAGGGAGCCCTTGCATACTACTGGTGGGAGTGCAAACTGCTACAGTCACAGTGAAAGACAGTATGGAGGTTCATCAAGGAATTAAAGATAGAACTACCATATGACCCAGTAATCTCATTTCTGGGGATATATCCAAAGGAAACAAAAACTGTATCTCAGTGACTCCCACATTCATTGCAGCATTATTCCTAATAATCAAAGTATGGAAACAAACCTATATCTCTGTCACCAGATGAATGGATCAAGAAAGTGTGGTGTATATATACAGTGGAATATTTTTCAGCCTCAGAAAAGAAGATTCTGACATTTGCAAAAATATGGATGAACTTGGAAGGCATAGAAACAAGGAAGGAAAGTGGTTGTCAGGGGCTGGTTGCCAGAGAGCACGGGAGGTCAGGAAGGAGTTGGTAGAAGGCTACAGACTTTCAGTTATAAGATGAATAAGGTCTGAGGATCTAAAGTATAACATGGTGACTTTATTGATAATACTGTATCATACAAATGAAACGTGCTAAGGGTAGAGAACTTAAAATGTTCCCACTGACCCACACAAAAAGTAAATATGTGAGGTGATGTGTTAATTAACTTGATGAAGAGAATCCTTTCACAATGTATACATCAAATGAAAAAATAATGAATCCACCGATTGGAAGAAAAAAGAAATATCCTCTTTGAACATAACTCCTGTCCATACATGTATACCTCTTTAGCTGCCCTCCTGAGTCCTATCATTTTGACCAGAGTTTGTAACAAACAGGTAACAAAGAACAGGTTTTGTCTTACTTTTTTTTTTCCTTAGGAGGCATTTTAATGTTCTCTATCTAAAATACCTGTGCCTTTTCTAACTATTAAACAAGGCACTACAGCATTTTTTTTAAAGACTGAGCAAATCGAAAAATATGACAGCCACAAAAGACATGTCTATAAAACTGTTTTATAGGCATATATGAAATAGACATTGCTAAAGCAAAATAGTACAATTATGATAAAGTAATACATTTAAGTCTCTGGTGAATTTGGCTCTGATTCTAAAATTTTTCGGCTGTGTCTGCACAACACAAAGTGAAAAGCAGATTGGTTTACACCCAGGTCATTTCAGCAAAATAAACAGCATATATAAGTAATTAGGTTCTTCTGTACAAAGGTCTCTAATATTAACATTCTACAATAATAACATTATTTAGTCTAACATTTAGCCAAGACATGTTCAACATGAGCCTATTGTTTAAATTTGCTTTGCAAACTGTTTTATGGTTACTTCAACTCACTTTGTGCTAAGCAAGTAGGAGAATGTATTTGCTCAGTTATTCAATCAATATTAGCTAATATTAGAAATTATTATACGTTCACAATTTATTGAATGCCTTCTGGGTTTTAAGAATGAAAAAGTAGATGGCACAAAATTTCAATCATAATGTAAATTAGGGATTAAAATACAGCATAGAGAATATAGTTAATTCTGTAACATCTTTCTTTGTTGACAGTAACTACACTATTTGGGATGAGTATTTAATAATGTAGGTAACTGTTGAATAGCTATGTTGTATACTTGGAACCAATATAATATTGTATATCAACTATACTTCAATAACTAACTAAATCCATTTTTTAAAAGTAAAATACATTGTTCTGACTTTAGGAGGTTTATAGTCCAAAAGTGAATAAAAGGAAAACACAAAAAATAGTTTAGTTCAAGGAAAGCAGCTATCAAATTTAAGTAACAAACAAACGATAAGAGATGAAACATTGGATTGAAAAGATGGCACAAGGTGAGCAGAGTAGCCCTAAAAAGATCTTATTAGAAGAAATGGAGATCACGATACATAGTAAGGGCAGAGAGCCTGTAATGAGAATTGGTTGACTCCGGTCCCAGCAGTAAGTATTCTGGGTTAGCTACTGTGATGGATATGTGCAGTAGAACAATAGGAAATTATCTAAGAAATTATGAAATATTTTATTATAATCCTCAAATAATCTGTAAGAAGTTCTCCCTTTCCTAATATCTCTCTCTCTAGTGTTTTCAACTCAAGAGAATCAAATAACTAGTGATGGGATCTAGAGAGGTTTGAGTCTCACATTTTGAAGATATTCAATAATTTTTACAAAATAAGATACATTCATGGTACCTCCCGAGCTACGACATGTGTGTAGCCTCCACAAAATGAGAAAAAAATACCCTCTCATTAACTGCCTCAAATTGCAAGATAAAGTAGGAATGTTAACAACAGGTCAGAGTATCTCAGTAGCGGTTGTTTTAGGATTAGTGTGATGGTGCCATGAGAAATAAAACAGGGCACAGAGAAGAGTACAGAGACCAAACTGATCCCCTCAAAGTTTCATCTTGAAAAAAATGTCACCTCTTACTCTTGCAAAGTGAAGTGCTTAGGTAGACTAACCACATTTTCAACCAGTGAGTGCTACAATTGTCTTTTGAGTAATACTTGGTGGTCTGTATCTCATTCTGGAGCTGCTGCCTTCTAGGGTACATCCATGCAATTCAGGTAAACTAAAAAGTCACTGGAAATGAGCTTTGGACTTGATTCCAAAATCTTCTTTTAAATAATTCTCTAAAAGTATCTACACACTAAGAAAAAAACCAATTATTCAGGGGCTAGATACACACTTCTATAAAAAGTAAATAGCATTCTCAACACAATTAGACATAAAAATAAGTGTCATAAATTAAATGCAACATACAATTGCTTTTATAACACATTATGTTGCTATAGAAAGGAAAATATATTTAAATTCTTTCTGTAGTCTGAGATATTCTATGAAAAAATCATACTGTGCTCTAACCATTAATACCAGGCTTTTCATTCAAACCTTATATTATGATTGTCTTGCCAATGGGTTTCAGCCCCGGGCAAGTCTACTATGGATTCAGTGTGACCAAAGAAAAAGACAGCAAAATGTTCTCATGCTGAAAGGGTTATACCCAAGTTTATTCTCACAGTGGCAGGTCAGTTACTAAAATCCCATTCACTCAGAGTGAGTCTGCATGCAGCAAGCCAGTCTCTGCCTCTGGGCCCCCCTGTCTGCACAGCTGTGCTCTGGGCCTCTCTGCACAGTCGTCCCACACAGCTGTCCTCTGGGCCCCTCTGTCCACACAGTTGTCCCACACAGCCATCCTTTGGGCCTCCGTCCTCGGTGCTGCCACCACTCCAGCCTCTGCTCTGCTCTCCTGCAGCCCTGCCACCATGTTGCGCCCAGAGGACTGGGCAGAGCTCTTTTTATAGAGTCAACAGCCATGTATTGCCCACAGGTGTGCAGTGAGCTAGTCAACCACAGCCAGGTGAGAATCCTGGCCACAGGAACTCTCATTTTATCCACACATATGACTTACAAAAAATGTAAGTATCTCAAAAAATACCAAAAATTGAGCTTTCTTTCTTCCATTTGAAGCATCATTTTGGCATATGTTTTATCAGAGGGTGCAAATCTAATATTCTGAAACATCAAAAAGTACACTTTATTGAATGTCTTTTGAGACTCAGTAAACCTACTCACAGTACTTTATAGACGTCATTGTCCCTAATATCCAACTGATCATGAATAGCAGCTACTCCCGCAAACTTCTCTCCTCTGTTTCAAGCAAGGAGACTGCATGAAACTCCTTCCCACTCCCTTTACCTTTCCTTACCCTTTCCTTTTGTTACATAATCTTTTCAAGGAACTCTGTTGCCCTAAATTCTCTGCTCCAAACATCACAAAATTCGTACAACAGAGAAAACAAAGATTCTCCTCAGGAAACTGGAGGAAAAGAAAACTGTGAACATGTAGATACTTTTGAACGCTCATACATATAATCATACTAGGGCAAAAACATTGCTCCGGATATTCATTGAATAAATCCTTTTCACAGGTGCTATCCAATTAGTTGTTCAGAGTAAGTACATTAATTCTTCCAAGTCTCTAAGTGTTAATGTGTATGAAGGCAAAACTTGAATTGCAAAATTGCAGTTATTGAAATCACTGACATAACAAAATGGAATTTGTATATTTTATACTAGAAAAGAACATGCATTTCCTTAGTTACACCTTATTTTCCAGTTTTAGTATTACTTTCACTATCCACAATTAAAATTTAGATAAGAAAAAATATTAAATTAATTATAATCTTACCATTGTTGTCTCTTGAATGGATCCAAAACTGTTGATAAAAATGTTGACTACTACATCAACGGGAATGCCTGTGAACAAAAATTACAGATAAATAAAAATAAAGTAGCTATGAAAATCTCGGTCAGAATTTTCATATTTTTATGGTTTAAGTACATTTTATTTTTTCCAATCCACATGTGATGTAAAAAAAATTATAAATCTATGGTCTCAGTATACCACGTCTGAAATTGCTACTTACTAATTTTTCTAAATAGGAATCAAATGAGTTAAGCTGTATTTTATATATTTATTCAGAAATATTTCTCCTAAATTATGGACTATGGGAAAATACTTTTATCTTTAAAAATTGTTTTAATTGAGTTGATGCATTTAGCTCTTAAATTATAAAGACTATGGGAAAATACATTTATGTTTAAAAATTGTTTTAATTGGGCTGACGCATTTACTTTAAGAAAATATAAATTACTGTGTAAAAAACATCGTTTAAAAATTTTTTTTCATTCTTACAATCATTTTAATTTTTACTTTAATTGGTAAAGCAGTATTAAATTTTACTTATAATTACTATATTTTGATTTTTAATTCATGAAAATGCAAAGTTAATCAGATATAAAACAAAATCTTTATAAAATTTTTGCCCGGCCTGTTGGAAAATAATTTTGAAAGTTCATGGAGTGAGAACTAAAGTGTAATGTTGCGAATTTCTTTCTTGTTTTCTTTTTTTTTTTTCTTTAATTCAAGGCGGGCCCCCTGGTTGGGCTAACAAAGGGAAAATGTGAATATGGCCTTTCAGCTACATAAGCACCGACTGATGAAAACCAGGTGGTGAATCAATATATGGCCGACATGTGACAACTCAGACCATGGCTCTTGTTGAAAGTAACTGAATAGGTTCTGGTAATGAACAAAAACCCCCTGTTTTTACAACATAGTCATATAACTTCAGTTGACTAGAAACAGCTGCAGACTCTTTTACTGTGAGGGGAAAAAAAAGTCAAGTCTTATAATGTTAATCTGATCTACATTAATACCTGTCCTTAACCAGCCATAAGGATTACAGTTTTCCAGAGTTTTTTTTTCTTATAAAGCTTTTCCTAACTAATCAAGATGACAAAAAGAAGGGAGGAAGGAGGGAGGCAGGGAGGGAGGCAGGGAGGAAGTCTGCACACCTATACAATCTTCTTGTGATTTTAATTGCAAGTATGGTTTTGGTTCTTCAAAAATGTGATAAATGGTAATATTCTGTTGAAGTAAAAACAATCTATGTTGTAGAAAAGAGTCACTTTTATTCACAAAGTCAACATTTTTAAAAATGACATGGCAATCTTTTTTCAGCAAAAGAGTACAAGGAATTTTTTATCAATGTGAAATACTAACAGAAAGTAAAAAAGAAACTAAATATAGAACTATTGTCTATCTCTGAATTAGTACACTGCCATTCCCCTACAAATTGTAACTTTCTGATGGCTGTGAATGAAACCAAGATCTGTATCCACAGCAAGAGTTTTAAATCACTGTGGATAAGAAAGTATTTAGAAAACCCATTACAGAGGTTAGTTTATTAATTCACAATGTGCCTTTTTTATTATTATTTAACTGGGAAACATGAAACTTTGAGAATATTTTGCTTATCTTTGAACATTTCTGCAATTAAACTGCTGTGAATCTAAGCACATTACAGGACAATAACATGTCAATTTGAAACCCTGTTTTGAATATCACAAGTAAGTGTCTTTATACAAACAAAATCAATTTCTAAATTGCAAAGAATGACGATTTGGGGGAGATAACAAACCTTTGAAATTTGGTCTTATCCTGGGATCATAGCTGACCAATAGCCTATTCAAGATATTGCTAGTGGAATTGGCAGGTACTCGGGCAAGATCCTCTGCTGACTGCTGGCTATAAGAGAAAACAAAACAAAATCCTGATAAGTATTTTGAAACAGCGAGCAACAAGAATGGGCAGTTTTCACTGGGGAAAATATTTTGTTTTTTGAGACAAATCCTCAACTCTAGCATAGCTTTTCCAAACAGAGGTCAATGAAAAGTACTAGACATTGTTAGAAGCCCAAAAGATATGTTATAAAAATAAAAAACAGAAAAGGTATTTCAGCACTTAATTTTACCAAATGCATGAAACACTGTCCTAAATATCCATTTACTTTCTTTTAAATAAAATTATTATACAGACATCTTACTTGTCCTGACACAAGCTACAATCAAAATGCAGACAAACACAAAGGGAGTATGTCTTACTGTCCTGCCAATGGATTCAGTGAGATCAAAGAAAAGACAGTGAAACGTTCTTGGGGTGAAAGGGTTATATCCAACTTTATTTCCACGGTGTCAGGTCAATCACTAGAATCCCATCCACTGACAGAGAGTCTGCAGGCAGCAAGCTGGTCTCTGGGCCTCTCTGCCCGCACTGCCATCCTCCAGGCCTCTGTCCTCGGTGTCTGCCACCACTCCAGCCTCTGCTCTGCTCTCCTGCAGCCTTGCAGCTGTGCCACCGTGTCACCCAGAGCACTGGGCGGAGCTCTTTATATAGAGTCAGTAATGATGCATTGCCCACACGTGTGTACTGAGTTAGCCAACCAGGGCCAGGTGAGGATACTGGCCACAGGAACTTTCATTTTATCCGCACTCCACCCCTCTAGGATTCTCACCTCTTAATCTATGTGCCCTCAATCCTCTGCAATGGTCCCCATGCAAGAAAGCTGGAGCACTGCAACCAAACTCCATAGTAACAACAGAGGCTATGAGAATATACAAATAACAAAAATTACAACAAATTATAATAACCCTAAAACTTGAGGAGATTCATTGCATCTTGGCTGTATTCAAACCAGTTCTAACAAATTATAACCCTCAAGCCTGAGGAGATCCATTGCCACCAAGTGGTCATCCTGGCTGTATTCAAACCAGTTCTACTCAAAGGAGTTAACCAAATGACCATGGGTGGGCCTTAGAATACCCACCTTCTCCAGCCTCTCCAGCATAAAGTCTTGCAGACATAGGCCAGTCCTGTTGCTTTATCTTGCCTTCTGGTACATCCTCAGCAGCCAGAACTGCTGCTCTGGTCTCAGTTGTCACCATAGCTCCAGTCATCCAATTTCTTTCTGTCTGCTCCTGCCTTTTCAAGTCAACCCACATCTGGGTCTTCCTGACCTTCATGGGGCCTTTAAATTCTTCCTTTGAGAAGCAGACTGTATTTCCTTTTGTGCTTGAGCCCGAGGATAGAAGCAGAGCATGGAGTGGTCCACAGCCTGGGGAGGGGGCTGCACCTCTCCTGGAGGAACCCACAGCCGCCAAGTCCTTCTGGCTTTCCACCAGCTTTCAAGCAGATGGGGTCTCACCCAAGGAGGGGTTGATGCCTCTGGCACTGGCAGGGCCTACCCTCACCTGCTCGTCAAACCTCCACTCCTCCGTTTCTGGGACTGATAGCTCCACTACATCCTTCACCTGCCCCACAGCACCTGGAAGCCTGCACTCCCATCCTGCTTCTTCTCATGCCGCTCCTTCTCAGGCCACAGCACTTCATAGTGATGCCATTTCAGTCAGCTTTCTCTTCGGGTGGACCCCAGTCCTCCACCCCTTCACAGTACCACATGTCCACGGGGAACAGTTGAATGTGTCCCTGTCTATAGGTAAAGCCTGCTGAAAGACTCCTTCCACGAGGGCAACCTGTTCTTTTTCCTCGGTCAACAATGAATCCTGCCAACTATGCCAATTGTCTTGTCAATGGGTTTCAGCCCTGGGCAGGTTCCCTGTGGATTCAGGGTGACTAAAGACACGACAGTAAAACGTTCTTGGGGTGAAAGGGTTATACCCAACTTCATTTCCACAGTGGCAAGTCAATCACTAAAATCCCATCCACTCAGAGCCAGTGTGCATGTAGCAAGCCAGTCTCTGCCTGCAGGCCTCTTGGACCACACAGCCATCCTCTGGGCCTCTGTCCTAGGTGCTGCCACCACTCCAGCCTCTGCTCTGCTCTCCTGCTGCCTTGCAGCCATGCCACTGTGCTGCCCAGAGCACTGGGCAGAGCTCTTTATATATAGTCAATTGCAACGTTTTGCCCACACATGTGTGGTGAGCTAGCCAACCAGGGCCAGGTGAGATTCCTGGCCACAGGATCTCTCATTTTATCCACATTTTCCAGTAGGTTTCAACCTCTTGCCAATAGTTGTCAGCCCCAGGCAAGTTCACTATGGATTCAATGTGACCAAAGAAATGAGAGTAGAACATTCTTGGGGTGAAAGGGTTATACCCAACTTTATTTCAATGGTTGCAGGTTAATCACTAGAATCCCATCCACTCAGAGTGAGTCTGCATGCAGCAAGCCAGTCCCTGCCTCTGGGCCTCTCTACCTGCATAGTGGTCCTCCAGGCCTCTCTGCCCACACAGCCATCCTCTGGGCCTCTGTCCTCAGTACTGCCACCACTCCAGCCACTGCTCTGCTCTCCTGCAGCCTTGCAGCTGTGCCACCGTATCACCCAGAGCACTGGGCAGAGCTCTTTATATAGAGTCAATAACAACATATTGCCCACACATGTGTGGTGAGCTAGCCAACCAGGGCCAGGTGAGAATTCTGGCCACAGGAACCTTCATTTTATCCACAGAGTGCAATGTGATAACAAGAAATAGTAGCAAAAAAAGTTGCTTTTTAATAACATACAGTATTAACTTTCTGCCTAAGCTAATGAGTATGTGATACTTTAAGATGGTATGGCCAGAGATAGTCCAAATATTTCTGAAACAATCATGCTCACATTTATAAAATGATACTGCCCAAGAAATACACAATGAGTTTTCTCATCCAGTTAAATACATGGTGGGGGATGGAGGGAAGAATTGGTGAAAGAAGGTTCTCAATTATCAGATCAATTAAACAAAGAAAATACCTGACAGAGCTATAAAATACAGCTGTCCCTTTCTCTCTCTCTATATATATATTTGCTGTCAACTATCAAAAAGAGGAAAAACTGCCATGTTTTTCCATTTTAATTAACTGAACAATGAATCTTGACTAAGTTTAGTTGCTTGAGAGCATTTTTTATACAAGCAATGTTTCATTGTTTATGATGTGTTTGGGTTGGTTTTACCACCTGTAAGTTTTGCCAATGCACACACACACACACACACACACACACAAATCCAAGACAGTCACATGAAAAGTTCAAACTATTCTTGGAGCATCTAGCACTGTCTATTCAGTGTCAATTTCATAAATGAAATATTATGAATTGATACAGACAATCTGTTTAAGTAGATATCAGGATTCAAAACAGTAGAGAAACAAATGAAGGTAATTAACTTAACCTCCTGAAGGTGTAAGAGCTTATATAGATTTTTTAAAATTGCTTCTCATAGCCTTATCAGCTTCAGTATCACAGCTGCAGGGACTTGGGGACTGGTAATGAGAGTTCCCATTTTATTGCAGGTGAAATTGTAACTTCTTTAGAGACAGTTGTTATCCCTTACCAAAAGATAGGAAACTCTAAAGAGAATGACAGTATGTGGGAAAACTGAATATTAGGATGAAAATTAGTGTTCAAACCAATTTACAAGGTTTCTTATTCAGGGGAGAAAAACAGAATTAATTGTTACAAACTACAATTGTATTGGATCAATTAAGGACTGCTATTATTGTGTCTTGTTATAAAATCCTTTATAAGCATATTCATTTTAAGCAATGAAATAACCACACAACATAAAGACAACACTCATTTTAGTAGCCGAGAACTTTCTATCCTGATTTTTTTCTTCCACCTGGGAAGTGTGGTGGAATATGCCATCATACAATATGCCTCTTTGGCATAAGGATTATTTTGAGCTAAAGGCACTTGAGAAACAGCAAATGCAGAAAGAGGCTTTCTCTGAACTCTTCTTAGCTGCCTAAAGACAGATCCTTCAAAAGGAGCTCAATTGTCATAAATCCTTACTGCCATAGTTCCATCGACCAGTAAAGACTGACTCTCATCACTGGAGAGGGCACTAGAACTGGACACCACACGCAGACAAACTGCCACTATTATACCTCACATCTATACCTTTAAGTGCCCATTCATCATTCCTAAAAGTCATTTACTCTCCCTTAAGAGGCCTACCTCCTTTCTGGGTTTGCCCTACTAAGGCTGTACTAAAGCTTTCAAATTTCACCACTTTGTTAGGGTACTTTTTTTTTTTTTTTTTGCTGTGATGTCCCTGAGGCACATAATATTAAAAATTAATAAATTTGTACTTTTCCTGTTAATATGCCTGTCATCAGCTCATAACACAGAACCAGCTATTGAGATAAAGGGAAAAGCTTTTCCTCCTCTACAGGGTAAGCTGTGTCAGTCACACTCATTTTCTAGCCCATCTAACAAACTACACCAAACGTTCTTCCTCCCTTCACTGGTTCAGAATAAACCCCCCTCCCTGGAATATCTTAACTTCCATTCTTTATCATACTAACCTGAGCCCAACTTGTCCTTTAAAATTGCCTTTCTAACCAAATGCTTGCCTCAGTGTCTACAGGGGACACTCGAATGTCTTCCTGTCCATAGGTGCAGCATAGGTTCTAAAGAACACAGACTGATAAATATGTTGTTTGGCAATTGTTTTGTAGTTGTTTTTTCTCATCTATGTGTACTACTGAACAGACTAAACACAGACAGTATGATTCTTAAGGGAATCATGGCTTCTGTATTTTGTAATTTCCCACAATTCCTGTATAGTACTAAATGCACATTGACTCAAGTACTTTCCATCTGCCAGCTTTTCAAAGTTGCCTTCTGCCTCAGGATACCTATAAATGCTACTGAAGCAGCAGGTCCACACATCATTTCCAGATGAAGAAGAGTACTTCTTCCTGAGGTGTCCTCTTAGAAGAAAGGGCTTCAGAAGCTTCCCAGCGTT